TTTTTTTTTTTTTATTTTTGGGACAGAGAGAGACAGAGCATGAACGGGGGAGGGGCAGAGAGAGAGGGAGACACAGAATCGGAAACAGGCTCCAGGCTCTGAGCCATCAGCCCAGAGCCTGACGCGGGGCTCGAACTCAGGGACCGCGAGATCGTGACCTGGCTGAAGTCGGACGCTTAACCGACTGCGCCACCCAGGCGCCCCGACACTTCTGACTTTCTTAATAAATTGATAGCATTTTAAGAGCATGGACTATGCTTTATTCATATTTTTGTTTTCCAAGTTCTTAAACAGCAGATATTCAATAAGTGTTAAATGAAGAACAATATTTATTGACCAGACAGCAAGTAAACCCATGATTGATTTGTAAACTAGAATGACTTCCTGTTGAAAACTGAGTGTCCTATTTGAAAACTTTCGGACCAAAAGAAACCTTAGAGACCATTAAATGCAGCTTTCCCATTTTGTAGATGAGAAAACTGAAGCAAAGAAAGGTTAATTACCTGAGGTCATGCAACTAAGTAGTTATAGTTAAGAACTAGAACACTAATTTCGACCCATCATAGATGACCTTCTCCTTAAAAGATGTGTTCACAATAGCCTGATGATGTGGCATTATTTACTAAAAAACTGAACATTATGATCTTGGAGAAATACTTGTAAAAATCTGCAAGAAGTCATTTACAAGGCTTTTGTAAACGTTTGTAGTGTTTTTAGGGAGGGTGGTTAAAGTGAAAAGTTGAAACCAATCTAAATGTACACCACTAGGGAAATAGCTATATACATTTTGTGATAGCCATGCTATGGAATATTGGGAAGCACTTAAAAATGGATATAGTTTGATGTATACTAACATGGGAAGGATCTCCAAGACACTTCATAAAAATTAAAAAAAAAAAAAAAAAAAAAAAAAAAAGCAATCCGCAGAATGATACACAGTATCGCACCCTTTAAGATTCGTTAATCTCAGGTTCTTCCACCAAAACGATACACGTGAAGTAAACATATAGAAAATCCGAGGATTCACACCAAACAGAAAACGAGGGATGCTTGTGCAAAGGACGGTAGTGGATGAGGGGGGTCTTCGACCTTATGCGTAATGTTCTATTTTAACAAAGAGAATGTATTATTCATTCAGGAGCTCGGCTTTCATTTGCTGTTAAAATTAAATATTCAATAAAGTAGGCATTGTTTTCCTCTCTAATCAGAAACGAGTGATAAGGTAACAATTCTGTGTCGAGTGATACAACATGTGAAGAACGAAACAAGGCCTTTAATAAGATTAAAACACAGACAAAACAGTTGAGAAAGAAAGCGTTAAAGGACAAGGGAACAAGAGTACGCTGGCCGGCATAGGCAGCTTATAAGAGGAAAGGGTGGGGGAGGGGAAACCTCCCCGACGCAAGGCGCCAGGGGAGAAGGCCAAGCTAAAAAGGCAAAACGGGATTCCACAGGGGCGGGGCCAACCACGGCGCGCATGCGCAACCACGTCCAGGTGGCCGGCGCCGCGGAAGCGAAGCCTCCTAAAGACGCCGCGCGCTGGGGCTGCTGCTGCGCTTGCGCGGGCGGATCGCCACCGGAGTCGTCTTGTTTGCAGGCTGAACGCCGCGGCCGCCTTTCCTGGATTTGAGTCTCGCGCTTTCTTCGTTTGCTCGCCGGCGGGTTCGCGCCCCTCTCGCGCCCCCGGGCAGCGAGGCTGGGAAGGGGTTGGAGGGGGCTGTTGATCGCCGCCTTTAAGTTGTGCTCGGGGCGGCCATGTCGGCCGGCGAGGTCGAGCGCCTAGTGTCGGAGCTGAGCGGCGGGACCGGAGGGGATGAGGAGGAAGAGTGGCTCTATGGCGGTACGGAACTTCCTGTCCCTTCTCTCACTCCCGGGTTCTCTCAGGCCTGCCCTCCCGGCCCGTCACCGGCCGGCGTCCTGGGCCCCTCATGCCGCCCCTGGGGCCTCTGGTACGGAGCCTCCTCCGGCCTGAGAGTTAGGCCGAGTGCGGCGTGCGCGTTCCCGCCTCCCCGCCCCCAGCCTCCTGCCGCCCGGCCCACGCCCCCATCACGCAGCCACCCCGCGGCCGCCGGGCTGCGCCGGGGCTGGGCACCGGGCCCTACCCCGTCTCCCGGTCCTCCCCACCGGGGATTCCCGGCCGCCGCGCTTCCGCGCTCTTTCCCCTACTGTTCTATCTCGATTCTGAGCTCTGTTGGTGTGTCTGTTCTTGCCCCTTGGCTGTAGGATGCCCTCCCTGCCCCTTTCTTTCAGAAACAGTCTTTCTGTAATAATAGCTAAATAAAGTTGATGCTGTAAAACTAACGTCTTGTTTCTTGATGGTCAGTTTGTATGGAATGCACCTGCAAGGGTACCTCCTTGTCTGAAAGTCGTGCTTTAAAAATAATTAATTAAAAGAGAGAGAGAGAGAAAGAGATGGAGTACATTATGGCCCATAAAGAAAACCCCGAATGTCTCCTGTATTAAGGTGAAGTTTTTCTTTTTTAAGAGACTGCTCTTTAACCCACATCATTAGAAGTATCTCATGTCCCTTAGCCTTATAGTTTTCAGTTATCTCGTATATATCTTTTTTCCCAAAAATAAGTTCAGTGCACTTTGTACTTCCCTCTTGAAAGGGACTTGACATCTAGTTTTTAACTTTTCATTAAGTCACAGTCTCTTGTCTGTTAATGATAACTAGATTTGAAAGTTATTTATTCCTTACCTAAAATATGTATTCTTTAGTATAGTAAAAGTGCACGTTTGAGCACCATGCAGCTCCTTGACGCTGTGGCTTTGACAAACCTGTAAAATTGTCTTTGGTGGCAAGATTCAGCATTAGTAATATTCTTTGGAATGTAAATGTGTAGGGTTTCCTTAACAAAGATCTAGAAATTTTTTAATGCCTCTTAAATTAAGCTTACTTTTATAAAAGTAAAGTCATTTTTTTTTTTTCATAAAAGACATATCTTGTTAAGTCATTATAAGGTGATCTAACTTTGGATGTGCTTATAGGCCCATGGGACGTGCATGTGCACAGTGATTTGGCAAAGGACCTAGGTTAGTGCTTGTGATGATCACTTCAGATTTTCATAATACTGGTTTCTTTAAGAGTGGTTTGTTTGTTAATTTTATTTATTTATTTATGTATTTTTTTTGGTAGATGAAAATGAAGTTGAAAGGCCAGAAGAAGAAAATGCCAGGTTAGTGGAACTTGTTGTCGATACTTCTGCAGATTGTGTGGTAACAGTGGTTCTGTCAACACATTGTCAAATTTATTTCATAGTCTTTGGCTTAATTACAGCATACTGACTTAAAGTTCACAGGCGTTGATTCCGTTAGAATTTTCTATTTCAGGACCTAATCAGTTCTGTGTTTATTTGCTAGTAGCGTAGGGGACAAAGTGTTTGAGGTCAGGGTTTGAATACTCTTCACTATTAAGTACTTTGTACTCTTAAGTGAGTTCGGAAGTGGAATATACGATTATAACCATTAGACTAATAAGAAAAAACTTTAAAAAATGTTTTTGATAAAAAAAAGAATCCTTTAAATTACTAGTTTCACAATACCTTTGATGGTGTAGTGTACTTTGGTTATCATTTCCATGTTTTAAAATATTTAAAGTCAGATATTTAATGAATTTGTTATAAGATTGATTCCCGTTGTTAGACTACTAGAAATACATGACTGTCGTTTATAGAACACGTAAAAGCAGCTTGAAACTTCTCCAAATTTCAAAACAGCTCACACATGGGAGTCCGTCGACATGCTTACATTATTGATCAAATGTAGTATCAATGCCTTGATGTCCCATAATGAAGGCATGGTTAAAAAAAAGAGCTTTGAAAGATTATTTGGTTTTAAAAAGTAGAGAAAATACCATTTTACACCCGCTAGGATGGCTGTACTCAAAAAGAAAGTAACAGGTGTTAGTGAGGACATGCAGAAATTGGAACTCTCATACACTGATCGTGGAACTGTAAAAAGGTTCGGCTACTTTGGAGAACAGGCAGTTCCTCAAAAGGCTAAGCACAGTTACTATATGATCCAAGAATTCCAGTTCTACATAGATGCTTTAGAAAAATGATACATATCCACACAAAAACTTGTACATGAATGTTCATAGCAGCGTTATTTACAATAGCCAAAAAATGGATATAAGTGCCCATCAAATGATGAATGGATGGACAAAATATGGTATATTCATACAGTGGAATACTATATAGCAGTGAAAAATGAAGTGCTGATACCTGTAACAACATGGATGAATCTAGAGAACATTATGCTAATTTAAAGAAGCCAGTCCCCAAGGACTCCATATTGTATGATTCTGTTTATATTAAAAGTAGAGAATAGGTAAATGCATAGAGTGGTTGGCAGGACCGAGGTCGGGGAAAATGGGGAGTGACTATTAATATACGCAGTGTTTCTTTTTGGGGTGATGAGAATGTCCTGGAATTAGGTAGTTGTAATGGTTGCACTATTTTGTAAACATGAAAAGTCATTCCGTTGATTGCTTTAAACGGATGGTTTGTGTGGCATATGAATTCTGTTTCAAGCTGGCAGGGTTATACCTTGGAGATACTGTGGGTTCAGTTCCACACCACTCCAATAAAGTGAGTCAGATGAATTTTTTGGTTTCCTGGTGCCTATAAAAGTTAGGTTTATAATGTTGTCTCTCTCTCTTTTTTTTTAATAGTTTCAACTTTTTTTGAGAGAGAAAGAGGAAGGCAGAGATAGGGACAGAAGATCCAAAGTGGGCTCTGCTCTGACAGCAGTAAGCCTGATGCAGGGCTCAAACTCACAAACTTCGAGATCATTACCTGAGTGGAAGTTGGACACTCAACTGACTGAGCCACCCAGGGCGCCACTATACTGTAGTCTCTTAAGTGCGATGGTACTATGCCTAAAAGACAATATACGTACCTTAATTAAAAACTATTTTTATGCTAAAAAAAAATCCTAACCATCATCTGAGCTTTTGGCAAGTCATAAGTTTTTGCTGGTTGGAGGGTCTTTGAAATTGAACTCTGCTGACTGATCAGGGTGGTGGCGGCTGAAGGTTGAGGTGGCTGTGGCAGTATAAGACAATGACCTCTGCCACATGCACGGACTTTTCCTTTCACGAACGACTTCTCGGTAGCACATGATGCTGTTTGTTAGCATTTTGATAGTAGAACTTCTTTCCAAATTGAAGTCAATCCTCTCAGACGCTGCTGCTTTATCAGCTAAGTTTATGTAATACTCTATATTCTAACTCCTTTGCTGTCATTTCCACAATCTTCACACCGTCTTCACCAAGAGTAGATTCCGTCTCAAGAAACCACTTTCTTTGCTCATCCATGAGAAGCAGCCCCTCGTCTGTTCATGTTTTGTCCTGAGATTGCAGCAATTCTGTCACATCGTCAGGCCCCACTTCTCATTCTAGTTCTCTTGTTATTTCCACCACGTCTGCAGTGACTTCCTCCACTGAAGTCCTGAACCCCTCCCAGTCATCCACAAGGCTCGGAATCAACTTCCAAACTCCTCTTCATATTTGATATCTGGACCTCTCCCCATGAATCATGGATGGATTTTTTTTTTTATTTTTTTAATTTACATCCAAGTTAGCATATAGTGCAACAGTGATTTCAGGAGTATATTCCTTAATGCCCCTTACCCATTTAGCCCATCCCCCCTCCCACAACCCCTCTAGTAGTCCTCTTTTTGTTCTCTACATATTTGTCTCTTATGTTTTTATATTATTTTTGCTTCCCTTATGTTCATCTGTTTTGTGTCTTAAATTTCTCACATGAGTAAAGTCATATACTTGTTTTTCTCTGACTAATTTCACTTAGCATAATATTCTCTAGTTCCTTCCACGTAGTTGCAAATGGCAAGATTTCATTCTTTTTGATTGTCGAGTAATACTCCATTGTATATATATATATACACCATGTCTTCCTTATCCATTCAATGGATGAATGTTTTTTTATTTTTTGTTTTTTTTCTTTTTTTTTCTTATTTATTTTTAATTTTTAAAATTTACATCCAAGTTAGTTAGCATATAGTACAACAATGATTTCAGGGGTACATTCCTTAGTATCTCTTACCCATTTAGCCCATCTCCCCTGCCACAACCCCTCCAGTAACTCTGTTCTGCATATTTAAGAGTGTCTTATGGTTTGTCCCCATTCCTGTTTTTATATTATTTTCCTTCCCTTATGTTCATCTGTTTCGTATCTTAACTGACTGAGCCACCCAGGTGCCCCCATCTGTTTTGTGTCTTAAAGTCCTCATATGAATTAAGTCATATGATATTTGTCTTTCTCTGACTAATTTCTCTTAGCATAATACCCTCTAGTTCCATCCACGTAGTTCCAAATGGCAAGATTTCATTCTGTTTGATTGCCGAGTAATACTCCATTGTGTGTGTGTGTGTGTGTGTGTGTGTGTGTGTGTGTGTGTGTTGTGTATATATACATATATATACGTATATATGTATATATATACGTATATATACACACTACGTCTTCTTTATCCATTCATAATGGATGGATGTTTTTAATGGCATCTCGAATCATGAATCCTTGCCAGAATGTATTCAGATTATTTTGCCCAGATCTTCCAGACAACTGGAATCATGGTCTCTGACAACTATATGCTTATGAAATGTGTTTCTTCAGTAATAAGACTTGAAAGTCAAAT